CCCAGGGCAAATGTGCAGGTGTAAATTTGAATAATGAGTTGAACGAAGTGGTGCAGTGTGAATGGGTTCTGAAAGAGGAATGGCTTCTCAGTCTGTAAATGTGCTGAATTAATCATGAAGGAGCACTGGGATAAGTTCCTAAGCCAGCAGAGCACTTTGAATGCATCATATTGTTGCTACTGCTGACACGTTAAAGACTTCACTATCTAATTCAAAGCAAATATCTGGTTTTATGGATATCTCTTGTCTCTACGTCCCACCCTCTTCCAATGGCATGAACTGGGAAGGCTCTGGCCAGTCACCTGGATAAGTCTGCACGCCTGGAATCACAAGTGAAACAGCTAATACAGATGGCAAACCAGCAGCAAAGTAAATTAGACCTGCAGCCCCTGTTTGACACAATTGAAACGGTGAAACAGAAGATTGCCCTGATGGAGACGTACGACCAGCGCTTGGGTATGTTGGCACTTCCCTGCACAGGTAGGGGGGTTGCTGATTTACTGGTGGCTAAGTAGAGGCTTTGGTGCTACACTCAGGCAGTTGGAGCTCTTCACTAGAAAGGGCTTTCTTCTTGCATTCTGAGACCAAACTCTGATGGTGTGCGCAGTGTTCTCCCACCTTTCTCTACTGCACAGTGTCTCCTGAACTCCAGTGACACTGCAGGGCCACAGAGACAGAGCCTTGGTTTGGCTCCTGCACTGTGATGGAGGCCATGGTGCTATTCAGGCATTCACGATTTATAGTTGACAGCTTTTCTTATTCAACTACCAGCTGCAATTACATTTTTAAAAAGTTAGCAGCTGTAGTTCATAGCCTGTACTCAGGCTCGGGTAGATCAGTTTTGCCAGCTTGAGTTTGGGAGTCTGGGTGCTTGTTTTATCCAGGGCTCTGAAAGTTTTATTTTACCAAATGTCTCTCTCTTTTTTTTTTTTTCCTATTTCTTTTTATTTCCCTCTTCTCTCAGTTGTTTTGGAAGATCAGTCCAGCAAACATGATCTCCAGATCAATATACACAAAGCACAGCTCAATAAAAATGAAGAACGATTTAAGCTTTTGGAAGGCACGTGCTACAATGGGAAATTAATCTGGAAAATCACGGACTACAAGAAGAAGAAAAGAGAGGCAGTGGAAGGCCGTGTGCTGTCCATAGCCAGCCAGCCCTTCTACACCAGCCGCTGTGGGTACAGGTTGTGTGCCAGGGCCTACCTGAACGGGGACGGCTCGGGAAAGGGAACGCACATCTCCCTCTACTTTGTGGTCATGAGGGGCGAGTTTGACTCGCTGCTGCTGTGGCCTTTCAAGCAGAAGGTTACGCTTATGCTTTTGGACCAAAGTGGGAAAAAAAATCACATTGTGGAAGTCTTTAGAGCTGACCCCAACAGCAGCAGTTTCAAAAGGCCGGATGGAGAAATGAATATTGCCTCCGGCTGTCCGCGCTTTGTGCCGCACACCGTCCTGGAGAACACAAAGAACACCTACATCAGAGATGACACGCTCTTTTTGAAAGTGGTCGTGGATCTAACTGATCTGGAGGAATTGTGAAAAGCGTGTCCTGTAAATGTGATTGCTGTAAGCATGAAGAACTGCTTTTGTGGTGAGCACCAGCCATGCAATAGCAAATTGTCACCAGTTAAGCTACTGAGAATGTTTCATGGCTTTGGACTACAGGACAGATAATGAATTGCCAAAGCATCAGCCTTTCTTTTCTACCCTTTTTTCCAAGACTGCATTTTTAAGGCAGCTAGAAGTCCAGGTTGGTGCAAACATGCATTCAATCCAGATTGGTTCAGTCCAGGCTGGGGGGAATGCTTGGCTCCCATCACCAGACTGGTATTTGGAGATTAACCTCCTCCAGTAAATTCCCAGGAGCCCAGGCAGGCCTGTGGGCTCCTCTCCCTCACACAGAAGTGAAGCCATGCCCAAACACACAAGTGCATTTCATCTGTCTGCAATGGAAACATTTCAAATGTTAGCAAATTTGAATCGATGTGTCTTGATCCCTCCATCTCCTAGATTTTTGAAGCAGGAAGAATGGCTTCAGTTAGGCAGGGAAAACATTTGCCAAGTATCTTGCTTCTTTTTTATTAATTATGTTTTTCCAGAAAGCCCAGAGGAAGGAGCCAATGCCTCTTACCTTTTTAGCCTGTTTTTTCAGCTGCGCAGAGTACCCCAGGTCACAACAGCTTTCTTGTGTCCCTTCCACTCCTGCCTAGTGCCTTGGGACTGGTTTCCATTGGTGGTAAACATCCACAGTCCCCATCTGAAGCCAAAAGCTGCAGGTGCTTCTCACCTCTCAGGACATGGCCAGAGGCAGGGCACTCAGCCAGCTGCCAGCTCCTGGCTGCACTGCTGGAAGAGGGGCAAAATTCCTGTTCTTTTGCATCCACATCTGTGCAAAAGAGATATTTTCTAGCCTTACCAGCTCTACAAAAGGCAGGAAGAGCTTGGGGAATAGCTCACTTATATAACATGCACTTTTCCTCTCTCCTAGAAGTTTGGGGAAGAAGGGGGAAAATAGATTAGGGAGTGAGGTTGCTGTAAGAACCCAGTTTTGACAATCAGTGCAGCTTTAGTGTTTGTCAAAGGATGACACAGCTACTGACTGTGATGTCTGAAGATCTTAATTTGTATTTCAAGTTCCTTCCATATTGCAAAGGAATGTGTGCATTGTACAGGGTTTATTGGAGACACACTAAAACCACCAAGGTCAGGCACTGAGGAACAAATGACTCAGAACACATGTGCCTTTTTAAAGCCCTTTGGGTGCCTGTAAGAGGGATGTAATTTTGCATGCTCAGTGATTTTGTTATTACAAATGGAAGAATTTTGCATCTCTCATCTCTTACAGGTCAGGTAGGGAAACACCACAGCATTATCCATTGCTCCACAGCTTATCAAGAGACAGCAAGAAACTAAGCTGGTTTTAGAGTAAGAGTAAACTAGGCAGGATAAAAATCAAAACAGGGCACAGACTGAAAGGCGTAAGATAGAAAATTCAGGAGGGCGAATGTGGTAAAATGAAAAATGTTCTTCCTGTGAGGGATGTTGATAACAATCTAAATAATTCAAGGATTAATACCAAGATGAAGGCAAAATACTTTATTTTTTATCTGCAATCTTATTGCTAGACATTCACTTTCTCAGATGGTTTTCAGACAATAATTCAGACACATGTATTTTCTAACTCAGGGGTGGAGGGGAAGAGACCTTAGTAATCTGTACCTCATGGTGGGTTAGCACATGCAAAATCTTTGTTTTGATCTCGGAGTCCTTTTTGTTTTATAATGTCAAGATGTACTGAGCCACCACAGGGGCTTTCCATGTTCCCGGGACAGATTGTGAGGAACAAATTTTTTTCTTGTGTACCACCACCATTGACCACAAGAGTCATTTCAGCTGTAAAACAGAAATGGATGAATTGGGCGTAACACTTGGTTACAGAAAGAGCAGGCTTGTTTTGACAGTGGTGTGCCATTCTGTGACATCAGCCCTGAGTCTGGATTTCATGTCGTTTATTACTTTAATATTTGTCATGTAACCCTCAAAGTGACACAACTTCCATAATAACCACTAATAACTGATGGGAATGTACCCTCCGTGTGTCCTGGGGCTCTCCAGTACACAGAGTGCTAAATACAGAAAGTGATAAAGAACTCAGACAAACAGGGGAGGCAAGATAAAAAGGATGTGTCTGGTCTGTATCCTGGCAAATTCCCAGCTCTCTCTGCCTCCACCACCCCAAATGTAAAATGGGGATAATAATACTTGCAGAAGTGTTAGGGCTATTTAAATGTTTATGAAGAAGTTTGAGCATGAAAAGAGCTAAGTATTGTTAAAACTCCATTTCCAATTGTTAGAATAGGTGATGGCATAGTGATGTGGATAAGTGTTTAGTGTTTTCCTAGACAGATTTTGGAAGCATGTTTGGATTTAGGCAGTTCCTACTGCAGTCTCTCCTCTACCTACTGGTTGGGTTAGGTTTTTGCCATGAATATTCCTTTTAAAATTCTGAAGCACAAATTCATCCTGGGTGATGGAAACATCCCTTTTGAAATACTGCCTGTTTTATAAAGAATTAGTTGAGAAAATTTTTTTAAGACAACTTTCTTTAAATTTGTTCTTTTTGGTACAGAAATTAAGAGATTTATGTTAAAATTTTCAGTGATTTTTTTACTGCTTGTAAACAGGGTTTTAAACTTCATCCCATTCCTAATAAAGAAAAAATGTTGAATAGCATGAACTGTCAGGAAGAATTTTGATGTTGCATGAAGAATACCAAAAAACTTTTCAATAATATTGTACTGGGTAAGTAACCAAAAGAGCATAGGGTATTTCTACATCAGTGCACCATATGTTTCTAATGTATTTATTGATAGTTTGTAGTTGTTTGAATATCTCTTACTACAACAGAGGCATTTTTCTTGCCGAATGTCTTTACTGTGTACATAAACTAATGTAACAATAAATAATTTTATCATCCTTCTGGAGGGACTGTGGCCTATATTCCTTTTGGCTGGACTGAAGCAGACTTTTAAGGATGTGGAGTACTGGGCATTTGCTTACACTAATTAAAAAAAAACAACAAAAACAAACCAACACTGCTTGGAATCAATGTGCTTCATGGCTATTTAGGTTTGCACTTAGATATGTTCAGATATGAACTAAGATAGATCAGATTAATATCCTCGCGGTCTGAGGATGCACTGCGATGATAATTTGTGGTTGGGCCGGCTTTGGGCTCAGCGGGGCTTGGATTTGTTTCGGTTCGGAGCAGGAGCTGTTCCAGTATCCCACGACCAGGGCGTGCTTGGGAACGCGGGGCCTTGCAGAGCCGGCAGGGCCAAGCCCGGCGTGCCGCCAGGCGCTGCGGGGGCCGCGATCCCCGCTGCCCGCGGCTGCCGTGAGGGAGGGAGGGCAGGAAGCGGCGGCGGGCGGCCCCAGCCCTTCCGGGTCGCGGGCGGAGCCGGGACGGCCGCGGCCGCAGCGCGGGTGGGTCGGGAGCCCTGGGCGGCCGGGGAAGGGTGGGCATGGCCGGGCTGGAGCGCGGGGCCCTCCGGCCGCTGGGGGCCCAGGGCGGGATCCGTGATGCGGCGACGGCCCGACACGTAGGTGTGGGTGAAACCCCCCTGGCGTCTGCGCCAGCGACACCCGGTCGTGGGTCTGGCCTCCGGTTCCTGGTGCAAGGGGATGAGCCTGAACGTGCTTTCCCCCGCAGTAAGGCGCAGTGTCATGGGAGGGGAATGTGCTCCTGTGCCGTGTGCCCCGGGATGAGCCTGCTGGAGCGGGAAGGTGGGACTGGGTGACCCCTCTGTGGTCCCTTCCAACCTGTCCCACCCACCTTGTGCTTCATGGCGCTGCCCTCAGGCGTGCTGGCTCGATTCCTCTGTTTCTGAACTTCCCGCCCCCTCACCGCCACAATCTTTTGGAAATGATGTTATTGAATGTCCTTTTGCCTCTGACTAGATATGGATAACAGGAAGGATGAAAAAAGCAGGACGCTGTGTGCAACCTCAGAAGAAGGGCTGAAGGCCCGAGGTGGGTGCTGTGATCTGTTGCTGTTCTCTGGTGTTTATGTGGTTTTGTTTGTGTGTTGCCCGTTGGGTCATTTACCGGTTTGCTTGCTTGCTGATGCCAGTAGACCATGGCATACTGGAAGAGCGGGGAAAAAAACACAACCAACCTCTCAAAGCAGGGGTTTATTGTGTTTAAATTCTACTAAGAGTCATTTCTGTAGGCCACAGTTACTAGTTGCCTTGTGTTGCCCTAAGGAAAGGAAAAAAGGAAGCGAAAGCGCAGCAGAAGCAGATCCTCATCTGTTTCGTCCACATCGTCTTCTAGCAGTACATCCACTTCTTCCTCCTCATCACGCTCATCATCAAGATCATCTTCTTCAAGTAGTAGTAGAGGTAAGCTGTCTCCACATGCACATGATGTTTTCCAGTTTTGACAGCACTCCTGAGAGCATTTAAAGCTTGTTTTAGAAGAGGTGAAACCACCACAAAGTGACAATGCAGAATACCAGTGCTGCTTATTCAGGGTGTTTCTCTCATAATCCTTTCCTGTTGTGTGTAGAGGTGCCACTGCACACACAGTTTGCAATGTACTTAGGTTAATTTGAATTCCTTCTAAAGAGAAACTGCATTCAGATAAATGTTACTTGGTAACAATATGCTGTATATATTTAAGCCCCTCAATTTGTTGCATTTTCAAAACACCGATGTTTTTTACTTCACCAGTCTATCTAGACCAGAGTTGTGGGTTTGATTTAGCCCTGCTTTGGTCTTAACATTTCAAGCATTTAACTTTGAGGACTCAGGTGAAGCTGGCACATCTGCAGAATCAGTAAATCAGGTATTTTCAGTTTCCATGTTAGTCCAGTAAGTGGCAGTAACCCAATGTGTTCTCTTTCTCAGGATTAGTTCAACCTGTGTCTATATATATATATATATATATATATATCTATATATCTGAACTATAGCACAGGATTAGTTCAACCTGTGTCTATATATATATATATATATATCTGAACTGTAGCTCTCTCTTTGTATGTTTCACATTTCTCTGTCTTATCTGTAAAACTAATGCCTTTTTCAGAATGCTAAACTTACAGGGTTTGATTTTGTTGTTTATTTTTTCCTTCATTTTAGATTCTCCTAAGTCTAAGTCAAAGAAAAAGAAAAAAGAAAAACATAACAAAAAGGTAAAAGTTTACAAAGATAAGTAAGTAGTTAACAAACAAAACTGTTCTTTATATTTCAATAACCTTAAATGTCATGTAAGACAATGCTTTTTTCTGTGGCTTTGTACACCTAAATTATACTTTAAGGGTTGTGAACTGATAAATGGGCACTTGACTTTATCCAAAAGAGAAAACATTTACAAGGTACTTTTGCCAGTCATTACTGGTCCAGCTGGAGTTTAGAGTAGTCTCTGAAGAAAAGAGAAGTGGGGAATCTTGATAACTTTATAGAATTTGCCAGAAGAAATTATTTATAGTTGGTGAGAGAAGTGAATGGTAGATTCTTGCTGTTGTAATTTTTCTGTTCCATGTTCAGTGATTTATAGTGCAGTTACTTTAAAAGAGAGAGAATGGGGAATCAGACCTTTTCTGTTGCTCAGAGCCCCAAGGTGTGCTAACTCTGGTGTGTTACTTTCTGCTACTTGTCCAGTAGTGGTAAGGGCAAGCAGACGTGGCTGTCTTGACCGGAGTGACCTTGAAAGATCTTGTGGGTTTGGGGGTTTTGCCCTTGTTAGTCTGTAAGCATAAGAGTGTATATCTTATTCTTGTAGAAAAGGAAAAAGGAGAACAAAATGAAGAAAAAGAAGGAAAAGAAGAAAAGGAAAGAGAAAACAGGACCTGTCCAGCTTTCCAAGGTATGCTGGTCTGAGTGTGAAGCCCTGTTTTCTTTCTCACCTACATACTTAATCCATCCTGTCATAAAAATGTTTATAGGATCACCAGTTTGGTCATCAACCAGTAGAAACCTCTCTCTGTTGTTGTGGACAGTAAGGAAGTATAAAAGATTATTGTCTGTAATTTTACATAAGATTTGTAATGGTACTCATCAAAGCTTATGTCTTTTTAACATGTGATCTCATTTCAGTTCTTCAAAAACAAAAAGAAGAACGAAAACTACAGCATGATAACCGGAAAGAAAATTAAGATGAAAATAAAGAAGACTAAGGAAGATATAGAGGTAAGAGTTAATTAGTCTAAATGTTCCTAAGAAAAAATGCTGTATCTTTTAATATTTTTCTAATAGTAGTTTTTGTAGAAGAGTAGGTCTTGCAGTTAAGAGTTGTAAACTGAGTGTAACTTTTAGTGTGGCTGTGAAGCCCTCTGAAAAATACTAATTCATTCTTTTGGCAGGTTTTATATTATGAAGGGACTTGTAATACTCAGTCATGAGCAGATAAACCAAAGGATGCTTGTGTAGGTTCTTTGAATTTCAGCCTATAATCATTAGCCATTTTGTAGGTTTCTCTTACACTGGTGTTAATTGTACTCATCTTCTTTCAGTCCCTTGTGATCTGTTGTGATAATTGCTACTTCACTGTTCTTTTCTAATACTTGCAAGACTAGCCTTGATTTAGAGAAGAATTTAAAAAAACCCAGGTGTATTATTAGGACCACATGCTCCTGCATTTTCTCAGAGCAGTCAAATGTTTTTGCTGAGATACCCTGGGAAATAAATACCATGAATAATAGTGTGTGCTATAGCTATGGATGTTTGGACTCAGCACTTAAAATAATACCGTCACTCTTCAACACCCTAGATGACCTGCAGAGGGCTCTGGAGCTGGTCGGGAAGTGTTACTTCCTTGAGGTATCCAGCTTGGCAGATTCAAGTTCAGCCCTAGTAGTTCATTCTACAGCTGGCAAAGCAGTCTGAGCATTCTTGAGTTAAATTTGACTGAAAACACATTATCTTCACTCTGTGACACCAAAGTGTGTGTTAAATTATGTTGAATGTTCGCTAGTTCTGTTCCAGTAGCCTGCTTGTTACAATATCTGATGTCAAATACTTGATGTTGGTCCTTTTTTTGATTGAGGCCTGTGGTCTTACTGAATTGAACAACATCCATCAATATTTAAAGATCCAATAATTTTTTATGAAAAACTCTGGAATTGACCAGTTGGGCCGTCTCTTTTGTGAAGAGAGAACCCAAATTCAGGGTTCTGTTATCCGGCATAAGCTGCTGTATATGCACACGGTGGAAAAAAGGTATTCCCCAAAGCTCAGGACTTTCTGTGAATACAGTGAAAGTTGCCTCAGCCACCAGAGAGGAGCATCTGTTGTGCTTGTGAGTTCTCTCCTGGGCAGGCTGTGAGCTGCAGGATGACAGCCCAGTGGAGCCTCCTTAGGGAGCCACTTAGGAAATGTCTCCTGGAATAGTGAGACATTTGTCTCCCCAGAAGCCATGCCTGGCACTTCCCTGGGCACCCAGGCCTCACTGGTCGCTGGTTAGACCCAGCTCTGTCAATGGCACTTGCTTTGGGATGTGGAAACCCCACAGAAAACAGGGATCTGTGGCTTTGCTCCTGAGTACAGGTCTGCTCAACCACTGCCTCTGCTTTTCTGCTCTACAGAGAGACCGGAACCGTGCCCAGCTACTGGAATTTCTGAACTCTGCCTTGTAACGGGAAGAGTCCTCACCAGGGACAGGTAGATGTACCAAGCCAACCATCATCCTAGCAGAACACTAAAGAGAAACTCAGGGAAAAGGACACCAAGTTGGACAAGACCAGACCCTCCTACTGAGAAGAAAATTGGCATGTCCTTTTTTAATGGCAAAACACAGAGTAGCTAATAACTTGTTAAGGGAGATCCATGTCCTCCTTTTGAGATCCTACGGTAATAGCCAGGCTGTGGTGTTTTAGAAAAGCCCAAGTGTGTGTTGTTCACAATGATAAGAAATGACACACTGAAGTCCAGCAATGTAATTTCTATCTTAACTGCATGCAGAATGCACTCTTAATTTCAAATGTCTTAATTTTTCTAGTAGTTTAAGCAGAGTATTTGTAAATGTTTATTTTAAAGATGAGATGTTTCTTTTATGTATTTTTTTTCTGGTAGTGGTTATGTGTATCATAAAGAGCAAACTGACCTTTGTAAATAGAACATCCTTTTACATAAATGATTTTTTTTTTTGAAAGTTCATTCACTAATATATTGTTTTCTTTCAGAACTCAATATGTGGTATTTCTCTGGACAGTTTATTGTTCTCTCTCATTAGAAAGTGTAACAGCAAAATACTCTAGAGCAACAATGGTAGCAAATTATTTTTATCCTAAAATAGAAGCAGGAGAAAGGTCTCTGGTTTTGTTTGTTTATCTGAATCAGTTGTTCAGTTCATAATAGATAGTTTACCCCCCACATCTGGAGTTGCAGTCCCTGGACTGAAAGCTCTAGAGTTGTGGCCTGCTTTTCTGATCCTGTGAGCCGTGTATCAAATCTTTCTCTTTGAAGTGCAGCAAGGCACATACCTTAGTCTGATGGAGAAAGAGCTGTGGAACGGTGTTGAGGCAGGCAGTGACAGTGACTTTACGGGTCTGCTGACAGTCCCTTGTGAGATGAGACAGGGCTGGACAGGCTGCAGGAGCCCAGCACAGCTTGTGGGTGTGCCAGCTGTGGTAATTTGCTCAGAGCCTGCACTCTTCCTTCCACATCCACTTGACTCTTGGTTACCCAGCAGGCCCCTCTGTAATAACCCTGCTGTGGGAGTTCACTTGAATCACTCGTGAAGCTGGTGCTCCTCAGGAGCTACGGTTTAGAAATGCCTGAAGGAAGGACTCAAGGGGAGTTCACTTTGAAAAAAACATTAAGTGTAGAGCAGTGAGAGTGAGGGGAGTTCATTAAAGAGCAAATGGAAAACTGTGTCTGTGTCTGCTACAGTGTTTTGAAGTAAACCTGAAGATTTGTACCATTGCTCAAGGGATAATTTTATTACTGTTTTAATGTGTGAAACCTTCTGAAGATGCTAGAATCCTCTCCTTTCCTTAGTTTTCTTTTGTTGTGAAGCATTTTGTAGTTGTTTCAGAGATGTAACTCTTTAGAGACTAAAGCCCTGATCCAGCAGAGAAACTCCATACATTCTTATGAACATAAGACTTACAAAAACATAGGTAAGAAATGGAGTTTCCTTGACTTTTAATCCAATAATCAAAAGGATTTTTTGAAAGCACTGTACTGAAATGTCACTGGGGGAAAAAAAACCAACCAAACAAGAAAACCCCTTTTATTTATCATGGGGATTATGCTTTGATTTATGCTACTCTGGTATTTTCTAGCTAGTGATGTCAAAGCATCTTGCCCAGATAAGCAGCTTTTGTCTCTGGACTTTGCATAACAGGCTTAATCACAAACACACTCCTAGAAGACAGCATCCTTCCCATTCCCTAGGTTATATTCTGTGTAAAGATAGTGTAATTTTGGAAGACTTGGTGTGGGGTAGGGAGTAGAAATTCGGAAGATGGAAAGAAAATAGCAACGGGAAACCCAGAGATCACAGTTGTAAACAACTACATTGGTTGGAATGTTCATACTTACTTTAAATTGCTTTTTGTTTCAAGATCATAAAATCTCCTGCCCTGTTGTGCATTAGTAGGGAAAAGGCAAAGGGCCTTTAGTAATATGATGTGGACTCTTCTTCCTTTAGGGTTTTGGTAGTTGTCTCTCATGGTACAAAAATGAGTCAAACTATTTCTTCTTAAAAAACAAACCCTTTTTTTTTTGGTATGTGTTCAGGACAGAGACCTTTATTTTCTCTTTATTTTTCTTGACATGCTGGGTATGCTTTGGTGATGCTTTAAAATATTTGTGTGGCAGCATTTACTTCTAAGCTATCATTTCTTCCACGAAGCCGAGCTGCTTAAACTTTGTGGCAGTGATTCTGCTTTATTCTCTCCTTCCCAGTCAGTTACAAGTGCTCTCTGAAACTTCCCAGCAGGTGCTGCTTTTGTAAGCCTCCTTTTCTGTTCTACCCATCTCCGTTTGGGTTCTCAGGTTTCTGAAGAGGCTTGAGTCATGTTGCATCCTTCCCTTCTCCATCTTTGCTGACAAGCACTGACACCCTGTGCATCTTCTTGGGACTGAGTATCTTTGAGGCTGCTGTTGGGAAACGGCCAACAGATTGCAGTCCTCCCTAGTGAGCACAGGCCCTTACATCCATAATAATTTTCCATGCCTTGCACCCTCAGGGAAGATGTTCATTTCGCTGACCCTTTCACTAAAGCTTGGCTTCTTAATACTGCTTCAGATCCCTGTTGTGGCAGGTGCACCACAGACTGAACCAGGTGGGAAGGCTACGACCGGAAGAATGTGGTGAAAATCAGGTTGAGAAATTTGCATGAGGGAACTGTGAAGGCACGTGGGATGTTAACCTGATACATGGCTGATAGAGAGACTTGCTGCCAGCTCTACCGAGAAGTGCATGTCGTGGGCAAGGGTGAAGGCTGGAGCAATAGAGCAGTGGAAAAGGTGAGGCAGGGGTGGAGGGAGATGGCTGCCATCAGAAGTTGTGGAGTGGGGTAGAGGTCGGGTGATGAGGCAGGGGCTGCAGAAGCTTACCTGGCTGGGCAAGTTGAGGTTCTTCTTAAAATGCCAAGTAACAGAAGTCTTTCAGATGTGAAACCTGCCTTTTGTGTGAGTGTATGTGTGTGTGTGACAGTCTTCCCTATCACACTCACCTTCTGTGTTCTGCACCATTTTCCATTCTGAGAATCATGCAGATCTCAACTGAATTTTTTTTTAGCAGCAGAATTTTCAGAAGCAGAAGTCAGTGTTGTGGGAAGGAGATGAAGGATACATTCTCTGAGCTGCTGCTGCCATGCCCATCTTCCTTGGCACTGTTTAAAATATTCAACCCTAGCCAGTTCTTGTGGGCAGTGCAATCCTTTGTTACTCATTTCCTTTAGAGTTGGCTTGAACTTTATTCTTTTGCCCACACAAAAATGTAGCAGAGATGAAACACTGAGGAAATACTGATAAATGCCATTTTGGCTTGGAAGTACCTGGCTCCATGGAACTAAGGGGTCTTATCCTGCAGAACTGAGCAGGGCCTGTCATTTCGGTAACAGTTCAATATTCAGTATGGTTAAACTTGGGCAGGTTGTGCTGTTTGGATGTACTTGGGCTTTCATGCTGCAGGAATGTATCATTCCCAGTCATCCTCTGCAGCAGGAAAAACAGTGAGCTCTACATGCAGGGGAAGAGCAGAGGTCAGAGAGGCTGAAGTGACTTGCCCTGGGGTCAGTCACTGAAGTTTTCCTCGTGTGGGCAAGGACCTTGATGGCTGGTGGAGCTCTGATGTCCTTTCATGCGTTGAACACCCTCCTCATTGTCTTTGCTGTGTGGGTCTTTGCTGTGTGTATTTAGAAACAAGTTTCCGAAGTTCTGGTTCAACACTCAAGGCTGGGACCTCCTTTGTCATTTGAGGGCTCTGTGGAATAGCTGGATTTTATGTCATAGTGGGCTTTCCTGAAGGAATGAGGTCCTGGGCACACTTGAGAATCCTCCAGTTTGTACTTGGTTATATTTCAAGCTGTAGGGTGATGAGTTTTTGAGGACCTGCTTCTTAAAATTATTGGCAAGCAGCCATATACCTAGTTCCATCTCTGGATAAAATTAATCATCAAAATTACTGTCCAGTGCAGAGATTGAGATTTATTGCCTGTTGGCAACAGGTGTTTTCTTCTCCCTGCCTGTTCAGTTTCAGTGTTACATTGTGCTTCAGGAGTGCGACTGATGTAGTGTTTGTTGTCTGAGGGGTCTAAGGAAGCCCTGTAGAGGCTTTGGGGCAGCCTGAAGAACAGCATCACCACCCAGCCTGAGAGGCACCTCGTGTTCACGATGGCAGCTGCTCCCATGCCAGCATGCTGGCTGCTGGTGCCATCTTCCTCTCAGGCACACCAGGGCTAACATCACTTGTGTTCACTTTGCTCTCCATTCGTGAGCTGTCCTAGGGGTGACAGAACAGTGGTCTGAGAGTGAGGAATCTGCATTTGTCCCGAGATGCCTGGTTAGGAAGTTGCTGCCTGTTCCCTGGTTGGTCAGTGCTGGAATATCTGCCGGTAGGTGGCAATGCTGTCCAGCTGGAATGTCACAGAAATATTTTTAAATTTTTTTTACCTTTGGACATTGGCTTTGCACTTTCTTATTCTGAAACCCTATAATTAGCTCTCAAATTCGTAATTATGGTTGTTTATGGGGAACGTGTTACTGCTGTCCTATGAATTTAATCCAGTCTTTGTTCCTTTCTTGCCCTTGGCTGTGCTGAGGACAGACAGTAGTCTCTTCTGCTGGTGCCTGTGTGCCAAAGGCAGAAGGAAGCCTTTAACTTCTCAGTAGCTGAGTTCAACAGGAGCAGGTTGCTGAGAGCCAGCAGGGACCTGGAAGGTGCACCACCCTACCTGTGGCTGCTGAGTTCTCCAGAAATTGCACTCTGCTCTTCTCCATCTCGTAAATATCAGTGCCAGAATATAGAAAGATGACTCTCCAACGTAAGAAGTATTTCAGTGTCACTGCTTCATAACACATCTGGTTATTTAAATAGTTTTCAGACCAAATTAAGTGCAATCTGTTGCTTTAAGCCACTCGACGCTGGAAAGAATCAGGTTGGAAAAGTACTGCAGATGGACTGTGACCTGATAGAGGCCTCGGAGGATACAGCATTGTGAACGCTAAACAGATGTAATAGTAATTACATTCTGAGAGCAGATACTCTGATGTCAAAAACACAGAAGCTCTTTTCCTCACTTTGGTATCTCTGCTCCTGGGTTAGATTACATTTATTTGGTAAAGGCAACATATGTCTGTGGCTAAAATATAGAGGTAAGATGCTATAATCTGTGGGGTAATCCTAGCCAGGACTCTAACAATTTATAATATTATGAAGTGTCCAGTGATAATGTATACAGTGTGTTCTTGTAGGCCTGTTTCTCACCTTTCTGTTGTGTTTTTTTTTAAGATCTCATCTGTAAGGATTTTCCCTTTGTCTGAGAATATCTTTGTGCAGGAAATGCACAGAAAATACCTGGTAGTCATTGGGAGACCTGGGCCCAAGACCCAGCACTCAGGGCTAACAGAGAATCTTTCTGATGTAAGCCAGCTTGAGACATGGCTTGTCTGAATATGCATAGGGAACAAGAGGTCCTTGTGCCAACAGCCCACACACAGACAGCAGTACCAGGGAAAAGCAGGCACTGAAATGATGATGTCTCTGCCTGGCACAGGTGGGTGGAACTGAGGGAGGCCTGCTCTGTTGCAGGGCACAACCAAGAAGGCTGTGACTGAGGCAGTCCAGTTCTTCTAAGAATGCTTTTTGGGCAAAACTGCAGTGCCATATCCTTTAGCAGGGAGGTGCAGCAGGACACAGGAATATCAGAGGGGCCATTCAGTCAAACTGTAGTTTTCCTTCTGGGAGAGGCCTATGGCAGTGTCTGGGGAAGTTGTGTAAGCAACAACACAGATGTGCTTGTCCACAGCTTCTGGCAAGGAGTAACTGTGCTATAGGCTGTGTCTAGAGCACTGTGGTATACTAACCCTGTGGTATACAGTCCCCTTTTGGAACACTCATCTGTCTGATGTGCAGAACGTGCTAAGCAATGCAATTCATGCTTCAGTAATACCTCATGTGAGGGAAAAAAAGGGTTTCCTTTTGTTTAAAACATATGCATGCTTTGTATATACGTTGCTTAGCACAGGGAGCTCTGAGCCATCTGGGGCATCTGCTGATGTTAAAGTGTTCCAGTACACAGGATCAGGTATGGAATCAACAGAGTGACTCAAAAGTATCTGGAGACAAAACACCCATTTTGTCTCTCATATCATCTCATTTTGTGGTAATACTGGTTAATGTAAGACGTGCTCAGAAGCACGTTGATATTGATGAAGACTTCGCTCCAAGGTTGTATCTGCAGACCATGTAGCTTCAGAGAACTTCAGACCTTTGCAATTGCTTAATCCTGGTTATTTATCACCTTCTATCTTGAGATCTGATTGTAGAGCTAGCAAGATAGAAGGTAGGCAGTTCCATGTGTAGCCTGTAGAGAGAGAATGGAGGGTTTTTTGTTTAGATCAAGTGCCTTTAGCATTCGTGCCTTCCTGCTTTGATATATACACAGTAGGGCAGTGGAACAGCTGTTGTGTTTGGCTAGATATAGACAGATTATATTTCAGGAGACCTTTAATTAAAGACAAGTACAAATAAATTGGCTTATATTCCACAGCTTTACTTTAATTCTCCAAGGTTCCATGTTGACATGTATAAACAGTGCAGTGTCAGCAGACAGGTCTTTCCCTCAGAGCTTACTCCAATTCCCCATGGCATGACACCTGCCTGAACTCTGTGCTGCTGTGGGTGAGGAATCTCAGCTCCTGCCTGCACTTCCTTTCTGGCTGGCACAGCCCATGGCCAGGCTCATCTCTAGAAGCCACAGGGGCAGGGCTGCACAGCCTCCCTCAGGAGAGCAGTGGTTCTAAGGAGTGCCAGCCCCTGGAAGCTTGGCAGTGTAGCTGAGCTGCTGCCATTACTTAGTAGCAGGTATAGCAAATCTAGGACTGCTTTTTCCTGGGTGTGACAATGTCCTTTGGACAGCACAACACTGTCAGAAGCGGGGCAACAGGGATGCTCTGAGCTGATACCAAAAGCCTTGCTCAGTTCTGAAAGAATGTTTGAGGATTGAGAATGATTCTTGTTCGGTTCACTTCTTCTTGTTAATGATGACGTGCTGATAGTGAATGTTTCAATCTCCTTAAAGAATTAACGCACAGGATGAGCTCTTAGGAGGTGCTAAAAACAGATCAGAGGGTCTCATCAAGATTTTTTGTTTGTTTTTCTACACTAGCAAGTAGTGCAGCCCAGGAGGAACAGAGCTGTGGAGTCAGACAGTTATCAATGAGGACCTGATCTTCACACTATACAAGTTTCATGAGAGTTTGTTTCAGACCACCATTAGTCCAGATTTATGGTTTGTGAACCACCTGAAATGAATCATTTGGGTTGGCTTGAGCCAGAAACAATCTGTTTACCCTGCTGTGTGTGCCCAGTGCCATGGACCACAGCACAGTAGGTGGGAACAGTCAGGAGTTTCATGCTCCTCATTTAAACTGACACTAACTTAGCCATGCCAAATGTGGAATTAGGACAAGGCAAACATGAGTGCATGGTTTTTGCTGCATGCCGAGACCAAAGGAAAATTTAAGGTTCAGTGTACAGCATTTCTAAGAAAAATGAGCACCAGAAGCAGTGCAGCAGTTGTGCATCCTGATCACCTCCCAGCTCTGCTTCTGTGCCTGCTGCTGCATGCACAATGCAGGAGTTCACAGTCAGTCTCCAAGCAGCTGGCTGCAGTCAAACATGGTACTACTTCTACCCCTTTAAGAGTACTAGATAGCATGGAATAAGAATAGATCTCTCATAGCTTGGTCTCTGAATATCCCTCTACCATCAGATCCTACTGTGAGCCCAGTGTAACTTCCAGAAGTAGTACAAGGAGAGTGATACTACTGTTCAGGAGTTTGGATTATGTTTTATTGTGGAATTATAAATGATAGGTAAGTTGAGGCAAAACAGCTGTCACAAGCACTGCCACAGCCTGGCCTCCGTAACATGCAGGGCTTTGACCAAAGGCCAGCTCTGTCTCCTTTGCTGCACGAGAATGGTGTCTGCCAGCTGGAAGCTGTTAATGAAGGACACAGCACAATCACAGCTACTGTGATAGTGTGAACACCCATCAGTGATTTCCTTGGTTTAGTACATTGCTGCAGGGAAGCTACTACTGCTGATTCTCCTTAAGAAAGAGTGAGCATGCTACTGACCCTGTGCTGTAACAAAGAGCTTTGTGGCAGTGTGTCAGAAGGTCCCGTGTCTCCCAGCAGTCCATCAAAATCACATCAATGCAGTCAATACTGAAGGTGTCAAACAGAACATAAGTGCAAATAAAATTAATACAGAGCTGCAGCATGAAATTCATGGACTCATCTCAGTCTTCAGTACCATACAGTGGCTTGCAAATGTATAAAAAAAAATATGGCTGACTCTTTTCCAAACAAGAATTGTATCTGCAAATTGTGGTGACCCCTTGCTAGAGATCCTACATCTTCTAGACAGCTAAGGTTATGCTAAGTATGTCTAGCCTTGCTTTTTACTTCATGTACACAATCACGTTACTTCACAAGGACATAGGCTGACAAACACTAAGCTGATTGTCAGAAGGCTTTAAACTCTCCCTCATTGACCTAAACTTGGAATAGCCTGTCTCAAACTGGCTGCTGTATTTGGAAGCCGTGACTTTTTGATTAAAAGTGAGCTGCTTTCTGTCCCTAGGAGGGCTGCTGGCAGCAATTTTTACCAAGGGATAGAAACTGCAGCCTGGTGCTACTAAGAAAGCCTTATCTTCAATCTTGCATAGCCCAGAGGGGAGAGAGGAAGAGTCAGAATCCCAGTCTCAGAGAGTTCTTAGGGAGTTGATCTTGACCTTTGTTTTACGATGCCTTCCTCCATCTCTGGAAGAAGCTGCACATTTCTAGTCTAGGATAGATTTCATGTACTGGAATTCTTCCCAGAGTTGGCACAGCTTCAGAGGGTTTTAATCTTGGCTGTAGAACCCACATGCTGTTGCAAAGATCCCCAGGGAAAAATAGCTGGAAATGGACAAAAGAACAACAAAGCTACAGGGTCCTCCAGGAGGCTATACCCCACTAAGATGATTCCCCAAAAGCCAGTCATCCAAGCAAATGCCTCCCTTCGTTCCCCATCTCCCGTTGGTCACCACAAAGCATCCTAGCCCTTGGGTTCTCTGCAGGACACTCGACTTTCACAGTGTGCCCTGCTGTTCCCTTTGCTGGTGTGAGCTCTCCCTGCTGATGCTGAGTTAGGGCCTTAGCAGCTTTTCCTTAGTGGCATTTTCCTGTCTCTTCAAGGTCTCAGAAGAACCTTCATCTGCCAGAGCACTTCAGTCACTCACAGCAGCAAAAAGTTCACATGATCTCAACTGTTGCCACTGTACAGTGAGCCCTGGAGATGAATGCTGGGTCCCTTCACCCTTCCCTTTACATGGCTACTCTGCTTCAGCCCTCTTTCAGGCTTGGCCATAAACATTAATTTCTGGGGTGCAGGGTGATTTCTGATTTATTTCTGGGGTGTAGGGTGGAGCACTTCTCAGCAACACAGAGCACTGAGGCCCCAGAGCAGCACTTGACACAGCACTGAGGTATCCACCTGCGTATCTACACAGCAGGTTGATAAATTTCTATCTACACTGCAGGTGCAAAGTTCTGGGGGTTCTGCCTGCACAAAAGAGAAAGTACCCAAGAAACTTGAACATGCATAAACTGGTGGTTGTGGAACATGATTGGTCTTTAATCTCAAAAAGCTTGCATCTGTTTCTACTCAGGTTGGATTGTGAACTGTCAGCAAAAAAGCAGATCAAGAGTAGTGCTGAGGTTACCTGTGAAGTTTGTTGTAGCACTGAGGAACGTTATTAGTTGGAAAAGGAAGTTCAGTTCCAAATCAGATACTAGCTTTAGCTCACAAGCCTGATCCTGCAAGCTTCACTCATTTAAGTGGCTGTCTTGCTTTCAGCAAGATTGAAGCAGCCAGCAGCTCTCAGTAGCTTGAGCCAAAAGTTTTTATAGATAACTACATCCAGGCTGGAGGGGAAAGGGAGAAAACAGACATAGCAAAACTAATTCATTAAGAAAGCAGTAATAAAAATGAGATAGTAAGTGAGCCTTGTCCTTAAGGTTACTGGATAGCTACTGAGTTAAAGGAAAAGCTACCATGTTTGGTAATAAATGGTGTCACAGACTGCAGGCATCAGCAGCGGTTACTACGGACACAGCTTTCAAGACAGAGACAGGCAGGAAAAGAGAGATGGAAAAAAGAAGAAACCATAGAGTTAAAAAAGGGTTAACTGGGCTTTCAAAAGATCAGTGTCTAAAAACCTTATTTAGTATAGAGTCAGAAATCCTTGGTGTTCCGAAATTCTGGCATGCTCCAAACCCTCCTGTTGGGCTGGGTGCCCCGTTCCACATCCTCAGAGATGGTCTTGATGTCACTGATGAATGGGGAAATCCTGGACCGAGATTTAAATGTTGTTAAGGAGAGGCTGGTTCTGTTCTTTGTGTTCCATTGCCTTGCAAGCTTCTTGGCCTCTTCCTCCTCTTTGATCTTCTCAGCAGCTTCCTGCAGGACGGAGCGGAAGAGCCGGGATACTTCCTGTGCTTCTGGTTCGTACTCTGCAACCACTTGCCTGAACCTGGAAGCACAGTCAGGGCACAGCTTTGATTAAAAACATCAAATTATGGATTGCTGCCAAATCACTGTGCTAGGCTTGGAACTTGCACTTTCCTGCTAAATGGGACTCCCTGGACAGAAGGGAACAACAAGGAGAGGCCACGAAGATATGCCCAAGGTCTCTAAAATGACAAGCAAGCCAGGGAATGTAAGGAAGAGATTAATCACTGTTTCTTTTAAGCACAAGAAATAATAGGGAACACCAAACAAAACTAGAAGGCGAGTTTGAAACAGAAGGAAGTGCTCTTTTCACACAACACCTATTAAACCAGAGCTCAATGCTATCAATAGCTTAAGAAACAAAATTATTAGACAAGTTTGTGGAAAATGTCCCCATCACTGCTCATTAAACATGATTGTCCAAATGCACATCATTGCTCGAGGTAGTCCCTGAACTGCAGCTTTCCAGAAGCTCAAGGCAGACTAGGGAAAGCCCCACATGACTTCCCCTGTTTTCCATTCTTGTTCCCGATAGCATTACCCAATGGCCTCTAGACAAAGGGAAATCCAGTCCCTTTGTTTGGTAGTCTTTCAATATTTAACTTTCCATGGTGTTTCATCTTCCTATGAATTTCTGTAACATAATGGACTGGCTCAGCTGAAAACATCTTGGTTGGCAGCACAATGCTGTATCTAATTAGATAACTCTGAATTACTTCAGTGCCTTCTCAGCAAAGACCTCAAAATGGAGGTTTTTTTAAAATTTTATTAACCTAGCTTAATACCAAGGAAGTGAAGAATCACCACTGTTTATTTTGCAGGTGAGGAAGATAAGATGAAGGGCAGAATAGTTTTCTTGGAGCCACTGAATAGGCCACAGGCTGGGCAACAAAGAGATCATGCCATTCCTGACACCTTGTTGGGTGAATTGTCCCCAGCCTGGAGACTGTGGGATCCACTCCCAAGGCTCACACTCCGGTCACATAGGTATTCTGATTGTTCTGTAATAGTACACATTTGTGACAGATGGTAATATGGCTGCTCTTCTAATAAATAATCAGTTCTTAAGGTAAAATTATACCTGCAAGCAGCCACAGACCTAAACTAGTACTTCACTAAATCCAGGTATTTGTACTGCAGGGAAGCTAAAGTGTAAGGTAAGCATTTCAATAGTTTCCTCCAACAGAACTGAACAAGGATGGAAAACAGTAGGACTGTACTTAAATGAGCCCAATACAGCAGAAGCTGACAGAATAAGATATTGCCTCTTGGGTTTTTGAAAAGCCCCAGGAATGTAAGGAGTTTAGCACATGTGGAATTGCATTGCTTAATGGTGTGCCAAAGGACACCCAAGATAATAAGGACAGAAGGCAAGACAAAGAGAAACCAGAAAGACTTTTTGTATGTTTATGTATTTTGACTCTGACTGTGGAGTCCTGAAATTGGCCACACATCTTGACACCCTGCTGTATCCCAGATATTTCTCTCCCAGCAAATACTGGCAGCTACAGGTACAGCTGTGGGGACGCCAGCGTTGCTCGCTGAGGGAACTCGGTGTCAGCAGAAGCACCAGTCCCTTCCAGTGTCAAGCCAGAGCAGTTTGACACAAAACCTTCCAAAGTCACCAAAATGTTCCTTAACTGTTTCGGTCGCTTTCAATCTCCCTCCTCTGCCCCCTCACCAAAAACCTCAAAACTTTGAACATTTGGGTGCAAAAAGCCTCTGAGGTGCTGTAGTTCATGCTGGTATTTAAGTACTGGCTGCCAAACTGAATTGTGCAGAGCCTGGAAGGGAAAGAGTTGATCCCTTGCTGAGGGTTAGCGGACAACAGCAGGAACTGGGATTTGTTGGACATTGCAAACTTCCTTTCTGCCTTTTGAGGAGGCACTTCAGTTGCGCTATCAAAGTGCCCAAAATACAGTTTTCACAATAAATACATTTTCCCTTTATCCTATTTGAAGCATAGACAGGTGAGTCCATAGAAACTCAAGTCTTCACAACATTCCTATTATTATACCAGGGAAAGCAGCCTCAAAGGATTTCTATTGCAAAGGTGAACTAAAATGAGACATTCAATTATTTTATCTTAATGCATGTTTTAAAGAGAGGTGCTATCATATATATATATATATATAAAATTAGATCCTCCTCTTTTGTATTGGCAGTTGTGCACCCAAAAGGCCTCATCACTGCCTCCACTTTCAGAGGCTGTGTGTCATACTGCTGGATTGTTGCTCCAGAGCAGGGATCAGGTTGTATCAGGCTATTATTGGGCCAGTGCGTGGCTCTGGATACGAGAGGGGAAATGGATGCTATGACAGCAAATAAACCCCCTGAGCAGAGAGCTCTAATGCTAATGGCCTGGGTTGCTGATAACGCTCCCAACCAATCCAGCTGAAACAGTTTTCTGAAATCAGGGTAGCTTTCCACCTGCACTGCTATCTGCCTGTTTGCACTCTTCTTAGCTTAGTTTTGTCAACTCTGCTGTTAAGATCTACCTCTAACTTTTCAGGACCAGCACCAAAACTACTTTGTAAGGATTTGACCAGGTCTAAGAAACAAAGAGAAAGCAATCCAAAAGACTGTCTGCCAGTCACACAATGGAAAGCCACCCTGATTCTGATGGGGAAGGGAAAGGGGATCCTTTTCTCTCCCCTAACAGGATGAACTAACTTCACCCTTTTATTAATGCCCACCTAACTTCAATACCAGCACGTTTGTGTAAGGGACAAGCTCATGTAGGAAGTCCTAAAGGAGTGTACACCACAAATATTTCTCAACAGAAAAGATGGACAGGTTACCAGGGCTGAGCTCCAGCTAAACCAGTCTGTGTATCAAAAAAAAAAAGATGGTTTTGCTGCAGGCACCTACACATAACCAAAACCATCTTCCCCAGGTATCAGTGAACACCAGCTGATGTGCTGGATGCTCCAGCAGTCTGCTCTCTGCACAGAACAGCCTGTATATAAAACCAGAAAACCACTGGAATCAGGTAGTATGGCCTTGTATCTTGAGAAACAAACTCCACACAAAGCTGCTCAGTGAGGTCAAGAACACAAAGTTGCACAAGGCTCATCTGTCTTCTACCACAGGTTAACACCCTTATACTTTTGCATGGGATAGTTTCAAACTAGGCAACTGCACAATCATGTCCAGAAACACCTCAACAGTGTTTCCTTACTCATCACAAAACAGACCTCTCTATCTTACTTGTGGTTCAAGCTATGGAACTGCTGGCAGCTCTCCTGGAATACATCATGCACGTCACACAGTCTGAGACGTGACAAAAACTCACATTGAACCAGCACAGATCTGGGGAGGATAAATAGGCATACACAGGGATGAGCACATTCCCCGGTCCAGGCAGTGTTTGAATCACAGTTCAAACAAATTTGTCCTTTAAGCTGTGACCCTTTCATTGCTTTATAGGCCTGTCAGATTTCAAGAATCAGGCCGTGCTTGGCTCATACTGTCACTGCTTTTTAAAGCACTGTCACCTGCCTGAGTTATTCTGTAGGTCCCTGTACAGTAGGTTCCCTAAGTACAGCCTGAACTTTAAAGACCTGTTAAATCCAATGGAAGTCCATGGATTTAAACAATGTGCTTATAGTTCAGGGTATTCCTGAATGCCTGTCTGAACGGGGAGCTCTAAGTAGATTTAGTCAAAGAAAATGTGGGGTTGCTCAGTGCTAATAATTAGCTGAATCTATATTTTGAGCAGTAATTCTGGTTATAGGGTAACACTTGAACAGCTTTGCTAGAAAAGGGTCCTTGATTCCCAAAGAATTACAGCATTCACACTAATTGCAACACTCATGCCACATCACCTTAAACTTAAGCTTGTAAATAAATCCACTTCTGATTTTAGTCATTTGTCTTACTTTAAGTCTTACTAGGAAGGCCACTTCAGCTATATACAATCCTTATAAAATTACAGTCCTTAGCCTGTGATATTGACAACAACTCAGATCATCAAAATGCAGGTTTACATTTCCATACTAGGGAGTTTTTTATTTCCCACTGGGCACAGGAGGAGAGAAACCAACTGTTTCACTTTTGCTGAAATGGAAAGAAATTAAACAGACTTTAACTAGCTCTGGGTTAAAGCTCTGAGTAAAGATGGGAAAAATCTAGCATTTTTTACTGGCAACATACTATTCTACTTGTTCAGTTTAACCATGGCAGTTAGGTACTACAGGACTCACCAAACTCACTGTCATTTCCTTCAACTGGCTCCAGGATTAAATAAACAGCAAACTCTAACCCAGTAACCTAAAGCTAAGTTACTCCTGAATGCAATGGCTTTATTTGCATGAGGTGAATCAGTCTCCAGATATCTGATGCTATTTGCAGTGTATTTGAATCTTTCCAGCATTCCAACAGCCTTGAAGAGAAGTTTCTATTGACCTAAAATACAAAATAGGCAATCTGGATCTGAAAAAAAACCCTGTTCATTTGTGAAGTGCTCCTTTCCAGCCTCCTCCACATCTAAAGAAATAAATTTGGAGAAACTTTGCCTCTCAGCAAATGATCCCATACCCACAGAAAAGGAAAATTTGGATAATCATTTAGACCTTTAGAGAACAAAGTGACATCTCTGACAACTCATATAAAAATGTTTTGTTCTGGCTTTGACTCTGAACTCAGAGTCTCACAAAGCAGGAGACCTTGCATGACACAAACAAAACAAACTGCAGTCTTGCAAGATGCCTGCTACTTGTGTTATTTAAGAATTACGTGCTTGTCGAGTGCAAAAAGGACTTCAAAAAGGACCTCAGCTCTTCAAATATCTAAAATGGAAGGGAAAAGATCAAGCTTACTATTTCAGTCAGAACCAAGGGCTTCAGTAGGGTACACACTCTGATTTTAATTTCCCAATGCAAACTCACAAACTTTTTTTTGGTGGAAGATTTTTCTAAAAGCTTCTACATACCAGGAAGTCACAGAGTACTCAAAAGAAAACATCAGCAGTGCAATGATCTTATTATTAAAGTACTTCACTGGGAATGTGGAAGTTTCATTGCGTTCCTATTATACTCATCTTGTGGAATTTTGGGGAAGTTACTAAAATCTCCCTTTTATCTCACTTTCTGAAAAGAGAATTTATCCAATTTTGGCCGTCTTTCTTTTAAATTGCAGGCTCTTTCTTTTTTTCTTTCTTTCTCCTGCATATTTTCACCTCCTAACATGGCAAACCCCATTCTTTTTCTTTGTTTCCTCACCAGCAGTGAAAATTCCATGGAATGACAGGGCTCTCTGTTAGAAGGTAGAAAAGAAGAGGGGTCAACTCTTAACATTTCCTACATAAGATGAAAGGATTATTGAATAAAACTAGAATACATTAGCTTAAGACAAGCAAAACACATTTTTTTGTAGCAGAGTTGTAGTTCAGGAGTGGAACTCTGCCACAGGGTGCCAAAATGGTATAAATTTACTTGTGTTCAAAAAGAAAAAAGCTCCCAGAACCTAAACAACTGAAAGAAAAAGCCACACCAGCCAGTTATGGATAGAAGTGGCTATCCACTTGTGGCTCCAAAAGTCTCCCAGTTACAAGGCACAGTAAGTTGGATGCTATATATGAGGTGTAATTGTCCCTACTGTTGGATTTGTTTCCTTGTCCTTTGCTCTTTTCCTTGCCCTGATGCCACTGGCCACTGATGACACTGTGACATACAGACTGCTCATCAGATCAGCCAGACCTCTGACACAATCCTGTTCCACCATTTTTGTGCCTGTGAGAGCCCCTTCTCAGTCACAGAATTGAACCAACACAGGTTATGAAATCCTCAGGCTTTTTTTACTGGGGCTCTGCTAACCATGCAAGCTCTGTAAAACATGCCACTTCTGGAATCGTAGTGTAATACAATTAATGAGAGCACCCTATTTGTAAAAGAAGTTATAAGAGGATGGTTTTAGCCTTTTTCAGTCATGCCCACACAGAGTCCACCATCGTTGTTGAGTACATTTATCTGCTGCCATCAGTATGCTGAACAGCAGTGAACAACCATTACAAGTTGCACTTAAATCATACATCTTGCATGATCTGTATCAAATTAAAAAAAAAAAAAAAAAAAAAGCAGAGCAGCAAGTTGTATATGGCTCAGCTTAATACTTTCCTGAAGCGGATGAACCCTGGGGCCTCTGCTCCAGCAACTGAAGCCTGCTGTCATGGAAATAACCTGTTAGCCAGACAGGCCTTGCTCAATGGCCCTGGGGATGGTAAAGATAGATCTGAATCCCAAGTGGCTTGTTTACAGCGTAGCTTGGAGTTATACAACCACAAAGCAAGTGCTGTTCCCAGCAAATTTTCACTGGAGAGGTCTTGATCACTGAATGATCCCAAATTCTGCCATCATGGCAAGAGCCAAGGCTCTATGTGCCAGGTTGTTTCCAAGGTTCAGCCCTGGGGAAGATGAGGGCTGGAGAGGTAATTTTGGCATTATTTCCTGGCTACATCCACTCTCAGACAGAGGACCAGTTATTTCCAGCACTTTTACAGCTGCAACTCAGAGGCCATAGATTCATTTGTTCAAGAGAAAACATGAGCCAGCATATGCAGCAAGGGACTGCAGGGTGCTGAGAGCCCTCTTGTATATGCCCTGCAAGGACTGTGCTCATTCTAATCCCAACTGAAGAACATGTTGGAACAGGGGAAGTTGATTATAAAGGCTCATTTCACAACTTTGCTTTGGCTAAGGTGCACTGCAGAGTCACTGTTCCTCATTTTGCCAAGTTTGCCTTCACTGTGCCAAGTGCAAGAATTTATCTTAGAACAGCCATTGCAAAAGGAAAAGAGCCACACCCTTCCCTTCCAGTCTGGATGCTACAGCAGGCTTAGATCAATTTCTAAAGGCATTTTCACAAAAGGTCACTCAGCTGGCAGGCAGCAATCCTACGTGTAGCACTTGAAAGGCTCAACAGCAAGAGAGGCTGTGTGTACATCTACACTGCAGAAGTCAGAAGCACCACTTGGCTGTTCAAACCAACTCATCCTCACCTGCATTCCATGACTCCATATCTAGAGTGAAGAGAGAGGGTAGGGAAGGGAGACATTCTCTGGGAATACCTGGCTCCCTGGCTGAAAAAAATAATAGCACCTTTAGGCTAGTTTGGACACTGGGGACAAATGCCTCATAGAACTGCTGGCAGCTTAAATCCAGGAATGAAGGCTCCAGTGAGAGGGAAAACACCAAAGGAGGTTGTTCAGAGGCTGTGGAACCTCTGCCCTCAGAGATATTCAACAGTGGACAGGACAAGGCCCTAAGCACCTGATCTAACTTTGAATGTGGCCCTACTCCAAGTAGGAGGTGGAAGTACATCCCTCTACAGGTCCCTTTAAACCTCAGTTTCTCTACGATTCAAGTCTGAAGCAAAAAAAAGCCATCACAATACTGAGATTACCTGCTCATCAGGCAAGGTAACGCTGTTCTGGCTGCTCAGGAGCAGAAAGCACTCAAGCCAGTGTCAGAGGGAAGCATTCTGTAGCATTAGCATTCTGTAACTTCTTGGAGGAAATTATGTTGTGTTAAACTGACTAAAAACATTCGATTTCCCTTCTTTCATGAAGACACTATCCCAGCATGACTCATGACACAGGGTGCCGAGTTTTGGTTCTGTTGCAACTCTCACTCTCTCCTCACACATCATAAAGAGGAAAGGGGGAAAAGAAAGGTCTTTATCATCCCGTTTTTTACTGTACCTGAGTATGACAGGCCCACAGTAGGAAGGATGTATTTTGGTGCACATGTCCTCCAGCTGCAGCCGTTCTCCGGGGCTGATGTCGTAGCTCTGCTTTGGGTAGCTGACCAGCCAGCCGTAGTCCACCCCCGTCTTGATCTTGCGGTATTCGTTCTCCCGCTCGCGCTGCTGCTTCTCTGCCTGCTTGATCTGCCAGCTCAGCTCCATCATGAGCGTTTCCACCACCATTTCTGTGGGGTTCCTCTGGGAAATGCGGTTTGGGGGCTCATTCCACCTGAACCAGGATGCCAATGACATAATGTGTGTCTTTGCTGGGAGTGGTAGAGAGGGAGAGAAAAAGAATACTGCCATCATCAACACACCTCAGCTGAGAACATTCTTCCCCCCACACCCCTCCATTCTGTTGTTCAAATTACTACTGGATAACCACTTGGAAGTAATTGGTGCTGGATACCTTGAGAAACCTCACTTGTAGCAGCCAGCTTGCTCAGAGGGTGAGACAGAGGGTGAAGAGGCACTATCTCCCTCAGCTTCCTCTCAGCATGTAATTAAAATGAGTCACAGTCCTGACACCTTAAGTCAGGTTACAAGGATGGCTTGCTTCCTCCAGTCTGGGCTGGGGAAGCATTCTCCTGCCCACACACAGGGCTTGGGCTCGCCTGGCTGAACCCTCATGGGAGGGCACGACCTTGCAGCAACCCTACCTGTAAAAACTCAATGCAGAGTCAAAGGATTGCTGGGAGCTGCATTCTAGCCAGGAGATCCTTAGAGAGGAGGCAGAATTAAGTGACCTGGTGTGGTGGGTTGAAGCTGATGCCCACTAAGTGCCCACCAAAGCTGTTCTATCACTCCCTTCCCCAGCTGGACAGGAGAGAGAAAATGTATTAAAAGGCTCATGGTTTGAGATAAGGACAGAGACATCACTCAGCAATTACTGTCAGGTGCAAAACAGACCCAACTTGCATATATTAGTTTATTACTCATCAAATCACAGTTAGATAATGAGAAATAAAACCAAATCTTTAAACACCTTCCCCCACTCTTTTTTTTCTTCCTGGGCTCTGCTTTACTCCCAAATTACCTACCTCGTCAGTACAGGGGGATAGGGAAATGGGGTTGTGGTCAGTTCACTACATATTGTTTCTGCAGCTCCTTCCTTTTCTGGGGCAGGACTCCTCACATCCTTCCTTTGCTCCAGTGTGGGGTCCCTCCCATGAGGACAGTCCTCCATGGACTTTTCCAGTGTCAGTCCTTCCCGTGGGCTACAGTTCCTCATGAACTGCTCCTGCCTGGGTCTCTCATAGGAAGTGCAGTCCTTCAGGAACAGGCTGCCCAGTGTGGGCTCCCTGTGGTGTCACCAGTCCAGCCACTAAACCTGCTCCAGCATGGGCTCCTCTCTCCAGGAGGTCCTGCCAGGAATCTCTTCCATTGTGGTCTTCCGTGGGGTCACAATCTCTTTTGGAGAGATGGCTGCCGTGACTGCCTGTGCCCCGAGCATCAGCTGTGATTATCCTCGTGACAGCAGCCACAGCCAGCAGCTGCTGCAAGTACTCCTGCCCCTGCCTCATCCCTGTGCAGGAGGAGCAGCCAGTCCTTCCCTTTGTGTCCATTGCCAGGGTGACTCCAGGCAGCAGCTCCCACACCAGCACGCAGAGCTCTGGCGTCTCGGCCAAGGAACAGACTCAGGCAGGAACCGATGCTCTGCCAGCTTCAAGTCCGTGATCCTGCCACTCCAACAGATACCTGGATCCTGCTACATGGTGGTCTCCACTCACCATCACACATCATTAAGGATGAAGACCTTTTCCTTGGTCTGATCACTCCTTGTGTATCCCTAACAAAAGTGAGGGGTGAAACAGGCCACAAGCTGTTGTAAATAATTTAAAGTCTCCTGTTTCTTTTCAGCTCCTGTGATGACAGTAGTTTTTGTAAGCTGCTACAGGTACCATTATTATTTCTATTTGTGCCTTTATCTGATGAAGGTGAACATGCCCTTCTGTATTTTAATTCTGGCTATGACCTGGTTTCACATTGGTTTAACTCTGCTGACTTCAGTGGCATGAGGGATAAATCAGTATAAAGCATTACAGCTGTGAAGCTGAGGAATGCCCTTCCAGCTATTCCTGGCTCACCAGCTGTTTTATTAGAAGAGGAGCAAGAAGGGAATTTAGTGGTCAGACTGGGAAAGAGAGCAAGGAGGCTTGGATTTTGCATGATCCTGGGCTGTTCTTGCTGCATTTATGGTTTTTAGTTCCACAGGTCTCCCTCAAAGCAAGGCATTCTGCATGAAAACCATTTTACCTTGCACTAGTATTACAGAGAATAAACAGAAAAATATTTTGGATACCTTGTCTGCTGATACCAAGGCCTGCTAAACCTGAGCCTTGCCCAGTCCCAGAGCTTTCAGAAAGCTCTGGTAAAAGGCAGAGTAAGGCTCTGGTAAAAGGTGTGGGAACATGGATAGCTCTGAGCCCAAAGGGGCTTTCACTTGACTGCCATACGTCTGCTTCCAGATGAGAAGACCATAAAGGAAGGAAAGCACCTCCCCTGCAGTGGAAATGGCCTGTTTTCAAATGAAGGAAAATCCCATGCAAGTGTTTCATGCACACTGGCAGCTTGTGCTGGCTGCTCTTAAGGGAGTCCTGTTTGTATGAGATTGTTCCCTTCCCCTTCTCTCATCCATCATCTCCTCTTTTGAGAGCTGGCAACTGGCCATGTCAATTTAGCAGGCTCAACAAGCCACCACTCTTCCCACTACTGCTCTTAGCAGCCTGCAGAAGATACTGTGGGCTCCATTAATTGTGGCTGCTGGTTTTAATTTAAAGTTCACAGGCAGGCTAATCATTAACTGACTCAAAATGGCTTTCCCATGTGGAAAAACTCAAAGGACTGTTGGCAAGATGTGGACAACTAAAGAAAGGCAAAAGTTACAACCTGACCTTCTTACTGGGGAAAAGGACAAATTTACACTTTGCAAGCATTCACATTAAAATTATTTTTAAAAAGACATCGCCCCAGCTGAATACAGATCTTTCTGTTGCCCAATTAGTCCATTTTCTAATTCCTTCTAAGAGGCTATCCTGGGTGACACAATCCAGTTGATTAACTATTCTGGTGTTAGTCAACCAAAATTTCAGAGAGGTTTATGTAAGTTCCGCTCCAGAAACAGACCTGGGTTTTGAGACTTTGGTGTCATTGACCCTAGACCTTTGTCTAGAAGACAAGCCTTCCCCTCAACTGCTGAGTGCAAGTCTGACCAACCACCTCACAGACTTTTAAGCATACATTTACCTTAGCTATGCTAAAGTCTGGAATACCTGGATTTCTCCCCCTCTCTCCCTCACAGTCTCTGAGGGGTTGCTTCAAATTTTAGTAATTTTTAGTAAGTCTCGCTGAAAGTTTTTCATGTAAATGTTTCCTGTTAGTTTTGCCTTTCTTCAAAACTCTTCCACTGTTCTCCACCCTGTCAGCAATTCCTGCGTTTTTCTTCTCATGTACTTTGCAGCTTTCTCCATTCTTTTCTCGGGGCATGTTCTGAACAATTTCACCTCATCTTCCATGTATTTACCTTCTCCCATATTTCCCCATGTGATTTCCTCTCGTTCCAAAGAATGCACCAAAGAATCATCAGAAATATCAACATTTCCATGCCTCATCTGTTTTTTCGCCTTCTTCAGACAGGGTTTTAGCCCTTCCTAGCCCTTTTACCAGCAAAGGGAGTCTGTTTCCTTGGCCTGCTCTCTGGCTGGTCTTTGGCCAACTGGAGGCTGTTCATACAACCTGACAGACACAATCTCCTTCAGGCTCTTGCAGGCTGCATCACCACTTGCTAAGACTTGTTACAGTCTTAAACCATGAGTCAATCAGCAGGGCCAGTTCAGGGTATACAAAAATCAACTTCTGAGAATAAAAAATTCCTTTCCATTGATCCTTCTCTTGGTCCCCAGCTTGTAGTGTCCTCCAGGATAGGAGAGGAGTATGCAGAGGGTGGGAAATGTGCATTTTGAAAAAAAAAAAATGAGAGTGGAATAGGATTCTCTATAAAGGTATGTCCTCTGTTGGACAAGTCTCCTGTGGTTTGCCTTTGCTTTCACAGTCCAGGAGTGCTGCTGACAATCCCATGTGACTCTAAGGAGCCTTAGGGGTGTGGTGATGGTGTAGGAGCAGAAGGAGAAGCCTTAAAGGGGTTACATGATAGAAGCCTAATCCATAATCCAGTGATGTCAATAGAAAGGCTGTCACTCAGCTGTAGACAGATTTCCAAGAAATCCATCATCATCCAGTCAAAGCATGCCAACCAGCTGGGCTGAGGAGCTGGGAAATGCCTTCCCTCCCTTCTTGTGGGTGGTAGTTCTTTATAGCTACAGTCAGAGAGCAGAATTTGCTCATGCAAGATACCCACTTAGCCTTTTTCCACACACTCCAGATCGCACAGTAACAAACAAGGAAATTTATTTCCAAAGTGGGTCCAATCTCCAAATTGTCCCCATAATTGTACTTTTTAGAAGACACATAGTTATGGGGAAAAGAAATAATGTCAAACTGCAGAGCACATTAAAATTTGTTTTAAATTATTTACCTCTTCAGTAAGATTTGGATTACATTGTCCAGGAAAGTCCAGTGTCCTTCAGCTACCAAAAGGTATCAAGTACCTTCCTGAACTGCAACTTATAGGTAGATTGAAATTGGTTTGGCTACACCCATCTCTGAATTCTGTGCTAACTGATGCAATGTTTAACCAGCTGCTCAGACAGAAATTATGGTCATGGCTATGCTGCTGGCTCTGTCTGCATGAAGTAACATTAAGTAGCAACAGCATCAAAGATGAACCTCAAAATCTATTTCTCTTGTGATGAAGATATTTTAATTTTGTTCCAAAGAATCTTAGAAACTTCTAACTAAGAAACTGCTGCCAACACCTTCTCAATTTTATTTATCTACTCGACTGTAGCTTTGTAAAAGTATCCTTGTTTTCTGTTCTCCACCACTTTCTGGTTTGTTCAGCCTGGAGAAGAGGAAACTGAGGGGAGACCTCACTGCAGTCTACACCTTTCTCACAAGGAGAAGCAGAGGGGCAAGCTGATCTCTGCTCTGTGGTGCCCAGTGACAGGACCCGAGCGAACGGCCTGAAGCTGTGTCAGGGCAGGCTTAGGTTGGGTATCAGGAAAAGGTTCTTCACCCAGAGGGTGTCTGGGCACTGGAACAGCTCCCCAGGGAACTGGTCACAGTACCAAGCCTGACAGAATTGAAGAACCATTTGGACTACTCTCACGGGAACATGGTGTGACACTTCAGGATCCTGTGCAGGTACAGGAGCTAGACTTCAATGATCCTTGTCCATCCTTTCTAACTCAGGATATTCTGTGATTTTTTTTTAAGTTAGTTGCCATTATTCTCTCCAAACAAAGAATTGTACCTTACCAGGGCCCAAAGAACTCAACTTCCAATGTGTCTGGAATCTCCTTTCTTGTTCAGTGACATGGAAGGCTAAGGTGTTTACAGCTACTTGCCACGTGATTGTAATTTCAGTGGAAATTATTATAACCTCAGCCCGAGATGCTACGAGGGAATTAAAAAAAAAATTACGCTGAAAAAGCAGTAGGCAGAGCTTGTCAATCAAGAAATTTAAAAGCAATGCAAATATCATGATATTAACACAGCAGCATTCCTCCTTCTGACCTGCAGAATAAAGAGAGAGAACTCCGGAGGACATTCAGGGGTCTGCTTATAGACCACAGTGGAAAACCTGTGTTTTGCTTTGTAAGCACACATTCCCCTATTGTGACAGGCACAAGGTATTTCTGGACTTAAAAAATTGAAAATCACCATGGTTAACATGTTTCCAGGTACATGACCCTGTTACAAGTAGCAAGGAGCTTTGAATAACAGAAGCACAGGGGATGAAGCCAATGCTTTAAATGCAACCTTATTGTCAAGTCTTCGTGGTCGCAGATGCTTAAGGACAGCCTCACAGCAGTGTCCAGGAGCAAAGCCAGCTGTGCCAGGGCTCTGTGGCACCCGGCAGGCCCTTGCATGCCAGGCATCCTGTCTGGCCCCAGCCTGGATGCGCTCGCGGTCCGACCTGCGCGCCCCGGGCTGACAGCTCCTGCTGCTGCCCAGCTCCGCTCCTGCGTGACAAGCGCTCCCAAAAAAGCGTGACAGCCGTGCTGCTGTTCAGCATGCCGCCCAATTTCTGTAGTGACTTTTCTCCAGCAGGCTTGGTACTGCCAGCACTATGGAAAGGGACTGGGGCTCTTTGTCTGCTGTGGTTGCCGCAGAGAGTTACAAGTCACTTAAGCCTTTAGTGAAGGTGCATGACTAAAAATCACCGCTAGGTAAACGTGACAGGAGGGCACTCAGAGCAAACCAAAGACAGAGAAGAAACAAAAGTGGTACTATTTCTATCAAAGGAAAGTTGAGTGGCCTTCTAGAAATACCACAACAGTGATGATATACATGAATATATCACATTTTCTACAGCTGGTGGCCCTCACAAGATTTTTTTTCAATGAAAGCCCTTAAAATTGAGAACACGCTCAAAGTACTTATCTCCCCAACATTTGTGTAGTTTGTAATACATTCTTAGAGTCTCAACTTCTAGAAAACAAGTGTATCTGATGCATTTTACATCTGAATTTTGATTGCAAGAGGAGTTAAGAAACAAGAATTCAGTGCAAACTGGGCCCCAAGTTCAGGTATGAATGAGAAAGGTGTTTTTCAGTCACTAACCAAAACACCATGAGGAAAGGTAGCTGATCTAACAGGTATAGCTTCATGATCTACAGCAAAGCTGCATAAAAGTAAAACAGATTTGCCTCGTTGAAATAAATGAGAGTTCTGTTGATTAACTTCAGATGAAAATCCAGTGTTAAAGAGTGAAAGAACGGCCCAATAGCTTGGAGCTCTCCTAATGCCTGGCACTCTCTACAGAAGATAATCTTTGTGTTATCTGCAGAAGCAAAAGGGTGGGCTCTACTCAGATCTACTCATGAAGCAGCGCAGTGTTTTGCACTTTGTCTACTTATCAAAGCAAATGAGTTCACTTGGTTGAAAAACAGGACTATTTTCATGCCAATTTCTCACTCATGCTTGAAACAATGTTTCTGCTAGCAACCATAAAAGCACTCTGTCATACAACTTACACTAAACTGCTACCTAAACCTACAGAAGACGGGAAGTTAAAGCACAATGAATTGCTGTGTTTGACTGATTTGTTATTGAAACTCCTATATATTGCTCAGATCTTGCCATGGTGGATCAAACACACCTTCAATTCTATACCTTGCTTTGATCTCTGCAGACTAAAAAGCCAGGTTTCCAGTCAGGACAGAGAGATATAAAATGTTCTTCACCATTCATTCAGCTGTGCAAATGAGAGTTCAGAAGGTAGCACAGACCCAGAGCTTTTCTGTTATTAAAATAATTCAAACCACTAGAAAAAAGTATTCTGCAATAAAGCTGTAATAGCATCTGATGGAAGACTCCAACACAAAAGGCTTTCAGAATTAAAACTATGAGAGATCCCCAGCTCATCTTTCTCTATTCTACTACTAACCACACAATGTTATTAAAGGGGCAGTAATGTCACAGATTGGAGTTTCTAATACTGTCATCCACTGCAGATACTCATACACAGAGTTATATAAAGAGATTGAAACTCTGACCCAAAGGCATATTCCACCTGTCGTCAGGTCCTCTGAAGTTTTTTTATTCATATATCGAGGTGAAGATGAGACTAAGTGCTGTGAAAATGGGCAAGTGATATGTGCATTCTCCATCCAGATTGAGGACTGATTCTTCTGGAAATACAGGAGTAATTCATTGCATCACAGGTGAGAACGCAGTTTAAACAGACACCAGTACATTTCTGTTCGGGACTGAACTTTAGTTATGGTATCTACCAGAAAGAATATTGACCAAAGGTCCTTGGAGTCCCACTCTGACTGCAGAGTTTTCTCTGTACTGCAGAATACTAGCACCAGTGTTAAAGTTTGGTCATTGTGACAGGAGCTACTTAAAAATATACATTGTTCTAAAATTAGCAACCAAAAGAAAAATGCGAAATTTACAGCTTGGAAACTGAAGCCTGTCTTTATCGAGATCACCCACAGCATTGGCAGAGCTCTGGGAAAGCTCATGCTTTCCACCCTGGAATAGCTGCATGTCCCACCTGCGGGCACAGAGAGAGCATGAACAGCACTGTTCTCACACGGGTTTTAGTTAATGTATCAGCACTAGGAGATGTACAGTGTGTTCTATCCTTAGTTACACTGCCATAACTCAGAAGTTGTGTGACCGACCTTCGTGGTACCTCACTGGGGTTGAAAAACACTGAACTTCCACACTACAGACACTTAATAGGGCAGGTGTCTAATCAGAGAGATTTTAAATATGGCATAAACATAAGGCAGCATAAACCACGCTTTACTCCTCGATTGCCTGTCCTTACATAACCAGTTACCCAGCGCTTATCCATGATCCAGGCAGCCGTGCCCGAGCCCAGCCTGGGAGAGCTGTGGGAGCGCCCCGGGCCCCTTCCCTGCCCTTCCCTTCCCTGCCCTGCCCTGCCCACCCATCCCGCCTCACCTTTGGCACCAGCGCTCCCGCTGCTCGTGCGGACGGACGGAGTCAGGGCGAGAGGAGGGTACCAGGAGAAGGACGAGGCTTGAAGTCAAGCCCTCTAAACTGGCACAGCAGGCTTAAACCCACACTGGGGTATGGATTAGCCCTGGTGACGAGATAGAACAGCTGGGCTTACGGCAGTGCTTTGGAGCGATTAGGGTTTGCTCCACTGCCTCCACACACAGCCTCCCGGAAAGAGCCGGCACCTCTCGGCTCAGCCAGACTTCGGCAGCCGTTTAAAAGTCCCTCCAAAACACGAAAACTTTGTAGCGTTTTCTACCCTGCAGCTGAGCCGGCCCTTTCAAGAACTGCAGGTACTTGAGGGCACCGGGACTTTCTGCAGGCTCAGGCGGGGCGCGCTCCCGTCGCTCCCCGGCCGTGCCACCCCCGGCTCGGAGCCTCGGGGCTATCCCAGCGGAGGCGGCCGCACCTGGGAGCCGCTGGGGCCGGGCGATGACCGCCCCGCCGGCACGGGGGAACGGGGACACCCCAGCCCCGGGCTCTTCCCTGCAAAGACAGCGGTCCCCTCCGCCGGGCACCTCGCCCGCCGCCGCCGGCGGTGCCCCCAGCTCCTCCTCCTCCTCCCGCTCCTCTTCCTCACCGCCGTGCCCGCTGCCGTCCCGCCGCCGGCGCCCAGCCGGGGCAGCGCCTCTCGCCGCCGCTCCGCCGAAGTTGAGCGGAGCCGCCGCTCCGCAGCCGCCGCCGCCCCCCGCGCCCCGCCCGCCGCCGTTCCCATAGCGACCACGAGAAGCCCGCTCGGTCCGGGGCCGTGAGCTCCGCCCGGGCATCCCAGCGGCACCGGCACGGCGTCAGACCCCGCGGGGACCCTGCTCTAGATGGAATTTGCACCGACAAATAACGGCGCGGAAACCAGATCTATTCATTCATTTCTCCTCAAGTCCTTTGGGAACAGAACAGAACAGTCTTCAGCCACAGAAGCCACAAGGGTTGCGCTGGGTTTGGAGGGATGAAGGATGAGCGGTCGGCACGGGAGTTGGGAGGGCATGGGAGAGAAGAAGAGGAGGAAGGTTTTTACAGTTAGGGTGGTGAAACTCTGGCCCAGGTTGCCCAGAGAGGAGGTGGATGTCCCATCCCTGGAAGCATTCAAGGGCAGGTTGGACAGTGCTCTGAGCAGCCTGACCTACCTGAAGATGTCCCTGCTCATTGCAGGGGGCTGAACTAGGTGGTCCCAGTCACACACAGCCACAGTGTCCTCTGTGAGCCCACAGTTCCTCACCCGACTCTTTCCACAATGTAAAAATGTGCAAAACCATCCCCAGTACCACTGGCTAAACCCCCACCAAATTCCAGGAGAGCCAGGCTGTGCCAGAGGGTTGCAGAGCTACAGCCTTGGGTAAGGACAGCACAGGGACAGGTGACACCACTCAATGACACCTGAGCATGTGTGTGAAGTCAATCATGCCCCCACTGAAAAGCTTTCATAAATGATGGCCCAAGTTCTTGGTATTTATGCAGCACTTGCACAGGCAGAGGACAGAGGTGTTTCAGACCATGTATGTGTGTGCAGCACACACATAAACCAAAACAGCCCAGCTGAAAATATTACAGATTACAGGATGCCCAGTGCAGTCTAAATTAAAATGCACGAGGATGGGGGGGTTTAAGGTTTAGTTTATTATTAGATCAAAACCCACAACTGGACTAACAAAGAGATAAGTAGCATTTTTCTTTGCTAATTATCTGTGGAGGATTACTTGTCTGTCCTGAGCTCCAATGCCAGCCCAGTTTGTAGAGGTTCACAGCATTCTGGGTATGCTCTGCTCTAAATGGGATTGTTGAGTTTAAGTAAAAATTCATTTTATGCTAATAAAGACCATAATGCTTTCATATATTAAAACTTATTTCAAAAGTCATCAACTCTGACTAATGCAGAATAAAACCCCCTTGAAAATGCTTCATTTTCAGGTATATTTTCCAGGTTATATTTTCAATGCAGTGAATTCCTGGAAGTTCTTGTCATGAATCAGAGACACTGATGACTGGGGAATATCTCTGGGAACATTTCCTTGCAAATATGTAAGCCTCACAACTGAAAAATCATTCATCTCTCCCATACCTTATTTAGCAGTTGAAACCAAGGATTCTTTTACTGCTGTACTGACAGGACTTACCAGATCAATCAGCACTCAGATCATCAGTTGCTTGGTAGCAACGCTCTGGTAACATAGATGGAGGGAAGATTTATTCAGTGGCACATTTCCCAGGATACTCCATGACAGTCAGGTTTCAGCATATTGCAATTTGTAGTGCATTTCAACAGTGCGTAGTGTAGTGCACTTGGGCCTGCTCTTTCTCACCATCTGTCAGATGCTACCCTGACTCACCTGAGCACACTGCTAACACTGCAGGTGTTGCCTGCAGAACCTTCATATTTTGGTGTCAAAGTCATGGACCTCTGACAATGACACTGAGGATGGACTTTTCCAAACAGTAACAATCATATTGCTACTATCTTCTGCATGGGTCCAACCACAAGCAAATAATCTCACTCAATCACTGACAAAAAGCAAATTTAATAAGGTAGAGTTGTATTTGGCCTGCTGGCTTTTGTCTGAGTTGCTGAAGCGTGTTAGTTAATATAATGGGGCTCACAGAGGGAACCCTGCTTTTTCACAGACTTACTTACAATCTTGCTTAGAAAAGTGCCGCTTTCAGAGTAATCAGAGTAATATACCTTGTTTGGGGTTTTGTTTGGTTGTTTGGGTTTCTTTCAGAGCTTGCTTTCCCTCAGCAAAACAGTTTTTCATTTACTGGAAAGATCTTCATGCTATTTACTTCAAATCCAGTTAGCCCACCCACACAGAAGTGTACCATGAGCAAAACAAGAGACAGTTCATTCAGTCTCCAGCAGCAGTCCCCAGGCATTGCAAGGCTGAGGCCCATTTAAGAATAACTGGTAATGTTGCCATGTCTTTTCCAGCACATATTTCTTTCTCTCCCTGTCCCCTTTCTCCCCCCACATGTTATGGCTGGGTTGCTGGGCTGCTGTCTGTGCCCAAAAGGGCTGAAAGGCTTGGGTTTGGTATCTCTGCTGCTGGAGGTGTGCTGTCAGGGACCACTGGCCCAGGAGGGTGAAACAATCAGCTCAGCAAGGAGTGTCCTGGTTCAGTAAAGGACACGTGCTTAGATATGGTGCTCCAGAGCACAGCTGGATGATGGGCATGGTATACAGGTCTTTCTCAGCAAAAGTCAGAACTATTCAGAGCAGGCTGCACTTTGTCCAGGACTCTGGGATAAACTTACCATAGAATTATTGCAGGGAGAGCTGTGACTGAAGTGAACAGTCTTTCTACTGTCACCTTCTACAAGCTCCTGAGTGACAGGCCCCTTGCTGTATCTGGGTAGGCACTGGTGCTGGGTTTTTTTTTTGCTCTCCTTCTCTTTTTTAGGAGAAGATGATAGCTATGGTTTATTAAAACCTAGAATCCTGAAGCCATAGAAAAGAGTATCACAGGGTGTTACAATGCCAGGAGTGGGGAAAGATTGCTTAAAATTAGTATTAACTAGAGCAAAGGAAGAAATGTAAGGACAGAAAATCAGGCATAAGCAGTGACTTCAGAGAGAAGATCTGTATCATTGCCAAATATTTCTTGTGGATGAGCCCCTGGGGTAAACATTTCAAAGGAAAGCAATAGAAAATGTTTGCATCCCTGTAGGAAGATGAAATGAGTTGCCTATGAGGAGCACTATACCTCTAACCTCAGTGGCACTAGGAAATAAAAACCTACAAATGTTTCTTCTCTGCTGCTTGCACTGCCCACTCAGTGCAGTCAGCTTTCACTGCTGATTCCTTCTGACAGCCTGCAGTCAGCGAAGGGAGGCTGGGTCTGCCCTGCTCCTTGTGTGAGCACTCCTTACTCCATGCAGTGAGTGTGGTTAGCTGGCACCTCCAAACCAGTCACACACGCATGGAGACTACCCAGAACACAATAACCAAACACCCTTCCTGCCATGGCATGTCCCCTTCTCTCTCTGCAGAGTGAGCACCGGAGCAGATGTAGAACCCCTGACAGTTTTAACTCCGTGCAGAACCAGAAAACCTAAGCTACAGTTTTGAAACTGCTGCTGCTTCTTTCTTGCCTTTCTGTTCACCACTCAGGAGTCTTTTAATAGTAGTGTAGTGGTCTGTTTAATTGCTGATTATCTTAACCAAGCAACTTAACTGAGTAAATGCAAATTCTGTTCTTTTAGCTCTGAGTGAAAATGATGAAGTGTCATGAAATACTCAGCCAAAAAACAGATGTAGTAAGGCAAGCTGAGCAGCAAAAATACAACACAGATGGTCACGATAAATTAATTGAAGACACAAGGGGGAGAGATGCAAAAAAAATGCCATGGAGCCTGCAAGTAGACAGATGTCAAAAATATCTGTGATTATGCACTTAATTGCACTCTCTGTGATTGCTTATTCCTGATGTACTCTCTTAACAAACAATAATCTCCAAAGGGCATTGCCAAGGTTCTTGGCTTTTAAAATGACCACATTTCAAATGCTGACACAGTGCATGATGCCACCTTTGCAGAGGTAATGATTTTTTAAGCATTAATTTTCATTATGTGATGAAAATGTCTCTGGTACTAGACATGTAACTACTTTCACAACATATTTGAACGGGTTTTGTCTCTGTCTTACCAAAATATGTGTTCTTTTATCTTACACTGATGCAAAACCAGCTGACAGCAATTGACAGATTTTCATTAGACTCAAGAAGCTTCAAATTATTTGTCCTCTTTCATTCAAAAGTGAATTTTTCACTGTTCAAAATTCAGTACAACAGGAGTTTTTGCCATTAAATTCAACAGGACCAAGACTTTGTCCATGCTCTGTTTCAGTTTGTTCCAGAATCTACTAAAATCAATGCAGGGGGAGGAGGGATTTAAGCTGAAGCTGATTTGGAAAGGAATTTTTAAAAGGGAGGGAGTGTAATGATAATGACATAATTTCTCTGAATATAGATATGGAGAGAATCTAATTAATTGCTCCATTTAGTGTCTAAACTCATTGTATCACTGAAACTTCATGGGATGTGTTGTGCAAGAAACACAACTTTTACACATACATCCCCTTCAGGAGAGTGGTAG